TTGTGGGGCCTGGTACCTACGTGTTTCGTGTATGCACTTCACAAATGACCTACACATAGGAGAATGAAACTTATGACGACGTTTCGGTCCGACTTGGATCATTAACGAGCCACTGGTCGAAGTCGGACCGAAACATCGCTCTAGGTTTCATTCTCCAATGTACGTGTCATTTGTGAATTGTTTCAGTCACGGTATTGTGCCATTATATTTCTCTTTAGTATTCATATACTCTTGAGCTACCATCCACAGGATGGGTATGGTAGCTCAAGCCGCTTCGGCCGCAAACTCTAAATCTTTACTTGGGCAACCTTTCGTTCTCATCATTTCGTAAAACTCGACACAGCAAAACGTTGCCACGATGCTCCATTAGAAACGCTTCCTGCAATGTGGGATTTTTTATTGCTTTATTGCAGTGGAAAAAATAATCACAAATTCAATATAAAATTATTAAATGTTGACTACATTGTAGTCAAAAAGAATCAATAAAAAATCGCATTATACTGCATTTCTGCTTATTTTTCATTTTATCTCCATCGCTTTATTGTAGTGCACCTCTGTTTCTATTTTCTTGCATATCTGAGCGTAATTCGCAAGTGGATCAGTGTTTTGATAGAAGAAACCACCTGAGGGTCCGACATCCAATTCCAGGACTATTTTGTCCGTGATGAGCAATATGCCATCACAGGTACGCAGAGACCAACAACACATTAAAAACAACTGCAGAAGGTGCAAATAGTCAGGGATAAACAAATGATATTATTATTGGGACTTTATTCATTGATATATTGACAATGAAGAGTAGGACTCTAATTTAAGTTCAGAGTTCGAAAGGAGGGGTAAGTTGCTCGACTCAGCAATGAAGTATTTCCTAAGGCAGTATGTCAAGGAAATGAGATTTACAGGAAATTGCACTCTGGCGAGGTTGGAACCATGTTTTCTTCTGCGCGAAGTCAGATTTAGAGAAAATGGAATAGGTAGAGCCCGCTTGAAGTCATCACTGTGTATGTGTGTTGACATTCTGCTCTCTCGTGGAAATTAAATGGGAAAAAAACATGTGGAATCTAGAAGACGGTTATATGGGATAGAAATTTATTCTATGTAAAGCGCACAGCCCATAAGGGTCATTTAGCTCAAAATGTTTTGGAGGATCGATCCTCTCCGTGCTGACAAACATACTGCCAACCTGTATCCACGTAACTTCACCTCCATTGTATAGGAGAGAACACTATGAAGTGAACCGTTTTCCAACACCAGTTTAGCCTGGACATTTTGTAAGAAAGACAAACCACCACGTAAAGGGTGAAATTGCGTAACTAAAAGTGTAGTGAGGCGGCAACAATCAAGTTTTATCTCCTGTATGGGGAAGAATGATTGACGCTGAGAGAATCCAAGGGTCGATCAAAAATGCAGAGAGGCAAAACACAGGAACGGAAGAGAATGTAAGGAAAAAGTACGTGTGTAATACGTCATGGCCAACACCCTCCTCATCCATAATCCCACGCCACCATACGTCTCATACCTACTCCCACACCACCACACGCCTCATACCTACTCCCACACCACCACACGCCTCATACCTATTCCCACACCACCACACGCCTCATATACCTACTTCCACACCACCACACATCTCATACCTACTCCCACACCAACACACATCTCCTACCTACTCCCACACCAACACACATCTCATACCTACTCCCACACCAACACACATCTCATACCTACTCCCACACCAACACACCTCATACCTACTCCCACATCACCACACGTCTTATACCTGCTCCCACATCACACGCCTCATACCTACTCCCACACCACTTCACGTCTCATACCTACTCTATACCACCGCCACACGCCTTATCCCTGCCCCAACACCCGCACAAGAATGTGTAATGATGGAGCGTTTGAATTAGTAACACAGGAGGAAGTATATCGCCTGTACTAGAGACTTCATGTTCAGAGTACGGCGAGTAAAGACGAAAATACAGGGCGATTCTCAGAACACAACGAGTGAAGATGGGAATGAGAGACATGATGCCCAGAATACTAGTGAGGATGAGAATGAGAGACATGGTGCTTAAAGCACAGCGAGTGAGGATGAAAATTATAGCATCCCAGAGGTCACTACGACATAATAAGCGACTCCCCTGCGACAACCTGCTCTTCCTGCGGGAGGAATAATGTGACAAACACAGGACGAGAAATTTGCTTGCATTTTGTGTTTAAAGACCAAAGGTTAAGTCAGTCTCTCTCTCTCTTTCTCTCTCTTCCTGAGACAACTTTTACATCACATTGCCTAATTATACCCATTAAAAAAGCATTCCCATTACGTGTTTCATAATTATACTCGTTTTGAGTGCTAAACCCATGTGTAATCACCGAATGAAGGTTCTCGTCTTCGTGACTGTCATGATGGGCAATGATGAGCATTTCGTGCGTTCCCAACTCATAGGCAACGTGGAGATTTGACAAGCATCCTCTTGACAATTTCATCGCTACGTTCCTCACCCAGGAACGTCTCTCAGGGAAACAGATTTCCAGGTCCCAGCGGGACTAAATGTAATAACACGTGTTTACTCTACTGAAGTGGGTCTAAGCTAACACTCGTCCAAATCCCTGTTATAAGAATAAAACTATTTTCCCTAAAATCCTGGAAGAAATGTCTTTTTCTCGGAATGTAAATGGATAACTAAATAGTTTTTTGTCCTTTCGCTTGAATTTCATGTTGGAATGTAACTTTGCGATCAAAACAGTACAACTGTGATCACGGCTTCTTAACTTGTCAATACATCTTTGCATTCCAGAGTCAAAATGGCTGGTTCTGTGCAAACGAAGCCAGATGTTAAATCGCGCATCGTGATCGAATTTGTGCATTCAAATTGCACAAATCTAGCTGAGGCTCATCGCCTAAATCATTTAGGCGAATGGATGTAACGTTGTTTCCAGGAAACACTCACGTGGGAGGCAGTGCCTTTGTTAACTGCTGAACAGTAGGTAAGACGAGCAGCAAATTGGACGTACAAGCATTTCCTGATTGGTAATAATGTCGGCACTTCCAGGGAAAGTTATCTGCGCGCATGTCATGTGCTGGACATTTTGAACGGTGAAGCGTCAAAACCGTGATCAAAGAAACATATGCAACACGTTTAACCATCTAAAAGAGGCTAAATATCCTGCTGATTTTTGGTCGTAACATGTTCGTGAGCAGGACTGAATGAAACAAAAATGTGCGACCACTAGTTACCAAAGAATCTCGTATACACTATATATTTATATGAATCGCTAAACTCCTATGGGTTATTCAGGGCACTAAACAGTTGAGGTTCAATCCTACGTGGCCCGTGGCCTGGTGGCAAAGCTTTCGCTTCACACACTGAGGGTCAGGATTCGATTCCCGGTAAGTGTAGAAACATTGGGCGTGTTTCCTTACACCGGTTGTCCATGTTCACCCATCAGCAAAAATGGGTACCTGGGTGTGAGTCGACTGGTGTGGGTTGCATCCCGGGACAAAATTGACCTAATCTGCCCGAAATGCTCAGCATAACAATCGGCTTTCTATATGGCAGTATGTCACTGATGTCAGCTAGGCCTGTATACCATGTACATGTATTAATAGAAATCAAGATGTTATTATATTATCATTAAGTCCGGTGTCCGGTAGTCGCGAGACAAATGCTATATTCCACTACCGCTGCCATCTGTCATGTTATCTTCGAGTTGTGTACCTTTGCATTGTGACTGGAGACATTTGGATGTATCAAGTAAAATAAGTGGAAACACTCGCCACTCGCCCTCTTCTTTAATGGAGATCACAGCAATTTCAGCACAAGGTATATACACAGAGATTTACATCTCTGTGCATATACACAGAGGTGCATCCTTTTTGCTCATGCACAACGAGAATTATGCATCCTTAATTACACTGAGAGAAATGCTTCTGTGTATCCGTGTTTGTGTATTTGTTAGAAATACACAGGCATGTTAGTGGCTTTCTTTGTGCTTAACAATATTTTATTACACGTAAACTACACTTTGTATACTACACAAAAAAATAAACCTGGTTTTACTTTATTTGATACATGCAAAGATGTGTATTTCTGTTAACTTTGATCTATTTCTTATGGATTACAGTATCTGTCATGTTCATATCAAGGTGGAACTTGAATAATTCTCATGCAGTCGGTATGTCATAACCTAATAATCTAACATCGCTAGGACTGAAGTAATTTTTTTTATATAAATATTAAATGCTTTGGGACCAATAAAGTCTACTTCTTGTCGGTTGTCTCTTCTGGAGTGACACTGAATGCTTAACATGACTCTTAAAGAGAGATATCGCACGTCTTTAATATTATATTAGTGCATATGTTTTTTATTAATGTGCTCAGGAATATTGAGAAATGGGTAACAGGATATTAACATGCTTCTGTAGATAAACAGTTACACGCAGTTGCACTACTGGGTATGTTATAAAGCCATCATACATAAGTGGCCTGCTGGGGATATCACACATGAAGTCATGAAGGTATAACTGGCAAATATTAACTTAATGCTTAAAAAATCAGTAAGGAAATTTAGCATCTTAACTTGTTGGCGTAATTCAACTTACTTGCACCATCAGGGAAGGGAAACTTGGTTTTATTAGCTTAATTTCCTTCTCCACTGAATTGACTGACATTATTTATTTTAAGATGCTCTTAATGAGACATTGAGTGGGACAATACATGATCAAGTCCCACGTCAGCTGATTTTGACTCAAGACTCGACGACGACAACAACAACAACAGTCTTAGAGAAGGCTCGTCATCGCGGAAAGTCTTCGTCTTGGAAGCAAGCAAGCATCATGAGGAGGCAGTGTCCCCGGTTTGGATGCTAGTGGGGTGCTAGTGGGGTGCTAGTGAGGTGCTAGTGGGGTGCTAGTGGGCGCTGGTGTGTGCTGGTGCTTGGCACTGGGACGGGGTCTTGGTGCCACACACACTCCAGTTCTCCGCTGGACACCGTAACGCGAGCACATCCTCCGCGCCTACAGCTAGTTCACCCACAGTCACCTTCCGAAAGTTCTTACGCCACACAAATTTGAATATCCTCTGTAAAACATCTATTATATTTAACGTACCAACTGTCTCTGATAAACAGATGAACAAAAACTTTCGGAAAAACTTAAAAAAAAAAGTAACATTTGTAGTGAACAGCAATTTCTGAATCCTCATGAATATGTTAATCATTATAAATGATTTTTGGCACAAGTGACATATACTGAGATTCACTTTTTAGTTGTGAACGTGCAACATCTTGGTGTTAATGGATTAAAACTGAAGCAAGAGGCTTAGTTCTGTGGAAGTTTTGCTTTAGTTATGCTAACAAAATTTTTTGAAAGGAGTAAAAGGTAGGTTAATCATGAATATCTATCTATATCTATCTATATCTATCTATCTATATATATATATATATATATATATATATATATATATATATATATATATATATATATATATATATATATATTATAAAGAAATCACAATAAAACGCGTGATTGCAAATATGAAAAAATACCACAGTGAAAAAGGGAGTTTATACAGACTTGGAGGCTTTATATCAGAAAGTACACATTACTATAGTTCCTGTATTAAGGATTACAATTTCCATGACTGGTGACATGCAGGTAACATGCAGCCTTAATGAAACTCGTGTAATAGATAGGCTTTAATCCTGATAAACGAATCCTCTAAACAAGTGAATTCTCGATGCTTTTATATTTTTATTTTTGAATGCTATATTAATTTGTGTTGTAACAAATTGTATAAAGGCTTTGATGCCTTTTCCTGGCAATTGAAAACATTGCTTTCCTGTTTTTATATCTGTATTTATTTTTTTTGTGGAGATCGAACACAGTTGAGTTAATACGAACAATATATTAATTATTAAGTATTTCCGACTTTGCGTTTGTGCTTGTAATGGTATGTTTTATTTTTGTGTATGTATGTGCGTGAATGTGTAGGGTGTGTGTGTGTGTGTGTGTGTGTGTGTGTATACTCACCTAATTCACCTAACTGTGGTTGCAGGGGTAGAGACTCAGCTCCTGGCCCAGCCTCATGAGCTTTATCATACCTCGTCTTAAAACTATGTATGGTTCCTGGCTCCACTACCTCACTTGCCAGACTATTCCACTTCCTAACAACTCATGACTGAAGAAATACTTCCTAACATCCCTTTGACTCCTCTGAGTCTTCAACTTCCAATTGTGACCCCTTGTTTCTGTGTCCCCTCTCTGGAACATCTTGTCTCTGTCAACCTTATCAATTCCTCGCAGTATTTTGTATGTCGTTATCATGTCTCTCCTAACCCTCCTGTTCACCAGTGTCGTCAGGCCGATTTCCCTTTACCTTTCATCGTAGGACATTCCCCTTAGCTCTGGAACTAGCCTTGTTGAAAACCTTTGCACTTTCTCTAATTTCTTGACGTGCTTGACCAGGTGTGGATCCCAAACTGGTGCTGCATACTCCATTATGGGCCTGACGTACACGATGTATAGAGTCTTAAACGATTCCTTACTGAGGTATCGGAACGCTATTCTCAGGTTTGCCAGGCGCCCATATGATGCAGCAGTTATCTTGATGTGTGCTCCCGGGGACGTGCTCGGTATTATACTCACCCCAAGATCTTTCTCCTTGAGTGAGATTAGCAATCTCTGGCCGCCTAGCCCATACTCTGTCTACGGTCTTCTTTGCCCTTCCCTGATCTTCATGACTTGGCATTTGGCTGGGTTAAATTCGAGGAGCCAGTTGCTGGACCAGGCTTATAGCCTGTCCAGGTCTCTTTGTAGTCCTGTGTGTGTGCGTGTGGGTTTGTGTGTGCGTGTGCGTGTGGGAAGGGGGGTTGAATGCTTTTGACCACTTATACTTTTGACCACTAAAACATTTTATTAGACGTTAATACGTTTTTTATTGCCGTAATTATTTTTACAATTATTACAGTTATTATTATTATTATTATTATTATTATTATTATTATTATTATTATTATTATTCTAAGTTTAAATATTAGACAGCCTCTCTTAGCGTGGATGTCTTTTGAGTTCTCACAAGTTGCATGACCGAATAGATGAAACAATCTGCTTGTAATTTTCTTCTATTTCTGAGTAGTTAATTAACTAGAATCAACAACCTTTATTTCCCTGGGAATGTTGAAGTTATAAAAATCTGGCAGCCTTGATTTTTGGTATCAGTATTATTATTGCTTTTGCTGTTGTCATTGCTATTTCTTTTGTTATTCTCTTTTATTTCGCCTCGATGGGCGAGTTTATTGGGCAGCGCCATTAATCCTTTGAGTAAACATACTGCCATAAAAACAGTACATTTTAGGCCATATTGTTGATACACTATTAGCAATATCTATTCCATTATTGACTGTTTCAACATTTAGGTATCACTGACTTTTAAAACTGTGGTTATCTCAGTCTCAGTGAATACGGCCTTTGTTGCAAAATATTACGAACCCTAGTTACAACGTGTTTATGTTCATAAATGTTAGTGTATTTTTCCGTATTTTCCTCCTGCAGTTGCTACATCAACCTGCCACATACACATGTAACTTAAAGAAATCCTAGTTTTAATTGTCTCTGCTCTGGCGTTTCTCGTATTTCTTATTATAAACATGTTTCCCCTAATGTGATCCTGGTGTAATGCCGCATCGAGTAACAATGCCCTGACGTACCTCTTTTATTTAACTTTGCTAGACGTAAATGGCATAAACTCCACAATAGTGAAGAGAAAACGCATGTTACAAGACAAAATTGTGTCGGGATGACACGTTTTCTCATAAAGCTCTACACAAAGCGAAACGTTGTCCCAACAATAGCTTGTTTTGCAAATTGTATTTTTTTTATCCATAAATTTTTGAATCTGCAGTTTAGTTGCAATCTGCTGCAATGATTAACAGAACCTTCATTCTATGTTTCTGCCGTGTTCCTATTCCTGCAAGTTCAGTTTTAATAGTATATTTGAATTTCCAAAGATAATTACATTTTTTATGTCCTCTATAATATTGTTAGTATTATTTCTGCATTTTAGTCTGAGAGCCGGTGACAGTGAGTTCGAAAAGACAAGTGAACTGGTTCTTGTTCACAAATTCAAGTGCTTGGTTTGAGGAGAAACTAAATCAAGGCGGGCTGATGATGCTCGATCCTGAGCTCCTCCAGACTATTCCAAATGCCTAACAATCTTTCTGTTTCTAACTAGCGTGAGCGATGATGCAGTAGCATCACTTTTAAGATCTAGTGATAATTACAATTTGCATTAGTGGTCCTGTCGTACGATTCAGGCAGCGTACGACAAACAACCCAGTAAGTCCTAAAATGATATGTTTTCGAAAAAACTTATGGACTGTTAATTTTTTAATTAACATGGTTTAATTTTATATTTTATGCAAAAAAATACCTTAGAAACCTAGCCTAAAATTGCTACAATTAACGTGATATAAGTGAGCTGAATTCTGTGTAATATTTTTTTGGGCACTCTAAATTTCATTGGTAGTATTCAACGCCAGTGATACTATATTTATTAAATTTATGATCTTCAGAATTTTTCGCGGAATTATTGCAAGTGAATTTACACTCGTCAATTTGGGCAAAAAAATGCCAATGGTATACGAGCCAAGCTCGCAAGATTTAACTAAAGAGCGCTACAACTACACCACCCTTGCAAAGTATCAGACATCTGTCTAAGTCCTTTAAAGTTGCAAAAACACCGGGTGGAGATTGAATTTAAATTAAATAGTTAAAAAGCATTTAAGAAAAGCTCTTTTATCTACATATAATAAATGTAATGAAGCTTTAATAACCCTGTCAGATATGTAATATTCGTATGGGATTGAATATCAGTACGAAAGATTTAATATCCCAATCAGATGACTAGAATTTGGAGGAATTGCAATTTAATGGAATTACTAAATATGTTGCTGAGAATCTTTGCTGTTTGAAGGGTTATGAAATATATTTGTCTGCTTTAACTAGCCAGAGACCTGAAGCCTGTGGCTTATGCATTGAAGAGACTGGAGGAAAGAATAGCACAGCAGATTTTCAGATTTGTTACAGTTAAATTTACTGCAATTACTTTTGCTGCTGTTGCATTCGTTGCCATTATATTTTCGCAGGTCACGTGTCTTCTTAACCTGGATGTACTGGGGAGAAAGGTGGTATGTTACGCATTTATGAATGTTTATACTGATTGAGTATTATCGTTGATAATGGTTCCTTCAAAGTAGACCTATCGAAGGGTGTGCCTTGATGCTGGTTTAGGGATCATAACACCGAGGGAATTCGGGCTACCTCTTCCCTTCATCTCAGACCTGTCATGTCATACTGCGCCTTTACAAAGGCGCAGTATGACCCACATAGGTTCAAACTTTTCCTGTGAAGACAATAATAAACCGATGCAATAATCTTACGCCAAAACTTGAAACTTTCTTTCTCATTAGCTTCAGTTTTATTTTTTTCAAGGAAATAAATATATATTTTTGTTTTCAGGGAGCTGCTATTTTAAATTTCCGTCTCAATGTGGGGTTTTCTATGAATATTGTAGTTGACCTGTGGCCTTTCGTCTGGGATTTGTCGTGATAGTTTTAAATAATTCTGTCACTCTCCCTCACCCCTCTCTCTCTCTCCCTCTCTCTCTCTCTCTCTCTCTCTCTCTCTCTCTCTCTCTCTCTCTCATATTTTACACAAGGGTTTTACGGTTAGCATTTCCTAACTTTATTTGTAAGCACTCTCTTCCTAGCGTCTCTCTTTTCCATTCCTTCCCTTTCTTCACCCCTCCTCTCTCTCGCTCTTCTTCTTTCCTCTTTTCCCTCTCATCCTTTCCTCCTTCCTCCTCCCCCCCTTTCCCGTCTCCCCTCTATTCAGTCTTCACTCATAAAAGATAAATTAGTTTTTTTTTTCAAATAAGGTCACTGTTCTTACCAGTTAATTAAATGTGCTATTAGGTTAAATGTGTATTTAATAGTAACGAACGTTGCTAACTAATGACCTACGTTGATTGCAGCTCTTAACGCAATGCAATAT